GTTGACTCACCATACGCCACTGTCAACATTTCAAGAGTTTTTGAACACTTAATACCATTTTTTACACAAAAATTAATACAAACTCTCTGCTCCATTATTTTCAACAGCAAAAAATCGCCGAGGACGCAAACATGAGTCTAACCTTTATGCCTCTCACATAAAAACAACACATGCTATATAGTCAAAACTGTGAACATATGATCGTGACGAGTGTACCAACACAACAACAAAAAAATTTTGAAATTAGAGTGTACAGATCGCGCGAAATTCAAAAAGTCACCTTACTTTTTGATCACACCTCGTATATAATATAATACAAGCCTGTCCAATTTGAACTCCGAAGCTAAAACGCAAAGCCATCGACGTAAAAAAAAATTCAATGTGATCAACATTTTAGGAACTATAAAGTGTTGATAAAGGTCACTTACAATTAGATGCGTATCAACACTTTACAGTCCTCGAAATCTTACGCATATTGAATTTTTTGTGTCGATGGCTTTGCGTTTTGGCTCTGGAACTCAAATTGGACAGACCTGATATAATATATATTCTTAATTAAATTATTTTATATTAAACTTTATATCTGATAAAATTTAATTGTTAGTTTAGAAACGGATAACGTGATTTAGTTAATATAATTTTTAAAAAATTTACAAATGTCGTAAACAACATTGTCAATTTACTTTCTTTTCTTTTAGAAGCGGAAAAAGCTTATTTTGCATTAGATAACAAGAAACTCGTTGAAAATGAAGTTTGCACTAAAGAAACTTGCTCCTTTCTTCTCTCTCACAACATAATAGAGATTATTAAACACAATTCTGCAGTGACACAAGCTTTACTTCAATGTTTAGAAAAAATAATGCAGGAAAGAACAAACGTTTATTCTGTTACGTCGCACTTATCAAAGATAGATGTAAATTCAAATTGTAAGTAGTGATTATTTCTTATAACGATGTATAGATTTATTTTAAATACGTAAATAAATTTTGTGTATTATATTTTTTACACAGCTTCCGAGGTAACTGTGTGTGAACAAATTCCATCCAAATTTCTAAACGAGAATATACATTCTGACACTAGCTCTGCTGCTGAACTAGAAAGCTTAAGTTGTTTACCGTGTTTGGAAAAAACAGAAAAAGATAACACCATAGCAATGTTTACTGAAACCCTTTTAGAGATAATGAAGCATGCCTTTGTAATGAATAGTAAGAATGGTCGGCATTTCCGAATATTTTATAAATAGTAAATGTATATAATTAATGTATATATTAAAAAGATGTATATTGAAGCTTTTCATTGTGATTTTTTTCAGTACAAAAAGATTGTGTAAGGAAAGAAGATGCGATCAATGCATTTATCGTTTTAAGTAAAATAAAAGAATGTGCAGATGAAATTTTAAAGATATATACGCTTGTAGATTGGTCAAAGAGACAGATATTAAATAAACTTTATTGTAGATCCAAATCGAAAAGTACTTGCCCTTTAAGGAAAAATTCTGCTTTGAATTCGAATCAGACTCAAGATATTAAAGAGGATGTCGTAGATCACTTTACAACTTATGCAAACTCAAAAGACGTAGAAGTACTATATGAACCCTCCACATCAAAAATTAGAGATTACAGTCTTTCGGAAAATGATACTACATATGCAGAAACAACGATGGACGAACCATTTGTCAAGGATAAAGATGTTACTGCGAGTACAGAAAACCATGATATCGGTTTAAATATATCATTGCCGCAGATATTGCTTCGTGATTCGGAAACTCAGTATACTCCGAAGCAATTACAAGATACAGGCATTGTAACCGATCCCAATTTTGAGGAAAAGATAAGTGTGGCCACTCAAAATCGTGAGCCTATTTTGATTCGTGTAATCAAATCTAATAATAGCGGAGATATTCTAAAATTGGACAAGGAGACATGCGTCCGCGATGCCCATGTTCTGTGGAACGTCGATAAGTACTCGAAAAACATGTATCAGAAGTATTCAGTTAGAAAACTGTTACACTCTGGCATTTCTCATGTATGTGAGAAAGAAGTGAATTGTATAGATTACCGTACATCTTTGTTGCGTACAGTACCAAATCCCTCGAATGGGATTTATAGATACTATAAAGAATGCAGAAGTTCATTGCCATGTCATCATGATTGGATCAAAGCAAATATCACAAATCTTGGAATATCATCGATCCAACGTGTTTCCAGAATCCCATTATATGCGAGATCACGCAAGTATACACAGAGGAGAACTGATTTGTACAGGATGTCACGATCGTACGTATAAGCAGTACTTTTCTGAATGTAATATGATTAACAAACGCGTGAAATAAATCATACAAATAAACTTTATAGTTCGATAATTAGTTTTCTATCCAGGTAATCGAATAAATTATGATTTTTAATTCAAATTCCATTTTATTACATGAAACCGTATAATATTTTCACAATTAGAATATAGGTATTCCTAATTGTAAAGGACACGTATCTATTGATATGAATAAAAGCAAACTTTCACGTATGTGTGATATATGATATCAGTATTTAAATTTAATAAAATAGTATAAAAGAGACATTTGCTATTTTTTCATATTGCTCGTTTTTACATAAATGTTATTATAATTTTAATGCCTTATATACTTTGTTTTTTTATAGTATTTATAAATTAATAATATAATGATCTAATAATGATTAGTTATTAATTATTTGTCCTGAGTACATTCATTTCTTCTTTATATAAATATTATATAATGAATAAATAAAACAATTCTATTTGAGATGCAAATTGCCAGAATATATTCTGACATGTATTTGCATAATAGTAGAAATTGCATACTGTACTACAACTTGATAACAAATTTTGAAATCAGTTAATAAATTACGTAAAATCTAAAATTGGTATAAAGAATATAATTATAATCGCTATGTATAATTAATTCAGCATATCTTATTATTCTTGACGATAACAATTCAAATTAAAGATAATCCACAAATAACGCATTTATAATTGATAAACGAGATTAAAATTCTACATAATTGCAAAATTTTTTCATTTATGTAAAAGTACATAAATAAAAAAATGATGTGTAATATATGTATATTGATTGTTTTATTTTAACTGAAATAATACTGTTGATATTTTTATATAATACACTTTTGAAAACCTAATAAGTTTCACTCTCTTAAAGTATACATATACATGTATATATTTGTATACAGGGTGACTTATTTTAATTTATTTTGGATTTTGTAAAAAATTGTTTAGATAAAAGTAGAATGGTTTTGAGAGGGACGTATTTTGGTCAAATTGTTTTTCTTCTAAATGAAGGTGTAAACGGTCAAAAAGATGTAAACGTCATCTCCAATTTTTTAAATGGAATTGTATGATTTCTTTGCATAATATTATTTTTATAATTATTTTACATATAAAAGTGTTAAGGTATAAAGGTTAAAGATATAAAAGAACCAACAGTTTTTTTTAGGAGAGATTTCATATAATTTAGTCCGACACATATTGACATAAAATGTTAAATCTCGCAAACTATTAATTTTTTGATAACCAAGGTATGATTATAAAAAAATTAAAACTTTACAAAATATTTAACATTTTATGTTAATATCTGCAGGAATAAAATATAAAATATATATATCTTTTTTTGACATTTCCATATAGAAGAAAAACAACAGAAAATCAAATACGTAATAAAAATTCTCCTCAAAATCGTCCCTTTAGTCTAAAATATTTTTTTTCCAAAATTCAAAATAAAAAAGTTTTTGGGAGGTAAATTAAAATGGGTCATCCTGTATGTTAAATTATTGTACTTAGCTTCAACATTTCAGAATTTGTCAACAGTCACATATAACTCTTATTTGACTAGCTTTAAATAATTTTATTATTTGTTAAATCAATGTTCACTTCTGATGAAATCATGTTTTCTGAAAAAGGAAATAAAATTTGATTTATTTCGAAATATTTTCATTTTGTAATATTTGAAGATGTATATTGTGTTTACTGTTATTTAATTTGTTTTCTTTGCGTCCGCTTTCTCGTCTTTAGCTTGACCACGACCAAACAATCTAGCCAATGAGTCCCAAATTCCTCCCAAGAATAAAGCACAGAACAAATTTTCAAATGGCACAAATGGATCATGAATGCCAAGCAAAATTGATGATAACTGAAAAATGATATTGTTAATATTACTTTGTTTTTACATATGTCAAATGTATAAATTTTTAGGAGATATTTTATTAGAATATGGACTTTACCTTGAAGTAGACGAAGAAGATGACAATGCCAAAGTACACAAGAGCATGAGGTGCAGAAATGAGATCAGTCTTCTTATCTAACACAAAGATTATTGATGCAACCATGGATGCTTTCGTAGGACTGTAAAAAAAATTATTTGTTGTCATTATATTTATGTCGGTTAAAAATATGATTGTATATTATAAAGGAGGGTACAACTTCTTTCGCGACCGTTCGGGGATTGTTTCATTTCTACATATTTTCTTATGTATTTTTTCATAGAAACCGAAAATTGATAATGACAAACTGGATCAATAATTCTGAATGAATTTTTAAATAAAACATGATCGACTTCATATCACTGTCATTTATTTCCTAGCGATTTTGTAACAATAGTGAAAGATTCTTTATTTTAATGTACCAATTTTTTTTAAAGTATAGCGTCATTACTATAATTATATAACTTTCGGTTTTCATTAAGAAAAATACATTAAAATATAGAAATGAAATAATCCCCGAATGGTCGCAAAAACGTGAAAGTTGTATGGTCCTTCATAATTTAAATATTTGTTCATATAAATATTATAAACTTTACGTACAAACTGGGTTGCATAAATTCCATCGCAGTCGGTGTCCATACGCCACGTATAAGACGCTCAAGTAATTTGGTAAATTCAGCTCCGTTACCTGTATAAATATTATAATTGCACATATGTTAACTGTTAAATATATATTAGCTTATTTTATAGCGCGCGTTCGTATATTTTAGTTGTGGAAATAATGTGATATACATTTCATTTGGTATATATATTTCATGTTTTATGACGAACCTTTGAACGTTCCAATCAATATCATAATAAGATATGCATTTGGATAAAGTTTCCCTGCGTGAGTTACTCCGTCGTACACTTTTTTACACCTGTAAAAAATAGCTTAGGTTTATATGCATTGGCATTTTATTTTAAATCGTTTTTATATTCCCTTTTATATGTGCAAGTACATAGTTCTTATAAGCATATAATGAAATAAAAAAACATCTTGAAAATTAATAAATAACATTTACTTGCCTATAAATTTCTTTCATAGCAGCACATACTATTTTAACTGGTAAAAATTTGGCAATCTTATATCCAATGTCAAACGGTGTGTAAAATATCACATACCTGAAACATTTAGGAAAGTTTTCTTTTAATAATGCAAATCTTTTTTACTGACATTACCAATTTTTCTCTAATTAAAATTTTTTATTTCTTGAATAGTTTTGTAAAATTGACATAACATTTAAAAAATAATAGTTTATGAAATGCAAAGCACTATAACAGGCCACACAGACATTACTGACCACACAATAGTTGCAACTACCACTTGTGGTGTATTTTTCAATGGTGCAAGAATTGGTTCCCCTAATAATCCATTGCACAGCATACTGCTTGCAAAAACGGACAACATTGTAGACAGCCAACATGATAAAGGATGTTTGCGGGAAAATGCTTGTGCACCTAAATATAGATATATTGTTATACATTATTTCCCGAAAATTTAACTATGCGTGAAATTAAATTTTTGACATCTATCATAATTTATAATAGTGTATATTTTAAATAATAAATTACAAGAAAGAAGTAAATATTTGAAACTATATCTACATTTAGATCAAAGAATCATTTATAAAATATTCTTTTTTTAGCAAACGTTTTTATTTTATAAATTTTTTTTATATAATATATATAAGACGTTATTAAAGTGTGGAATGTTGAAGATATATACTGAATGAGATAAGTCAATTAGGGAATCCTTACAAATATAACATTTCACATATGCAAACTCAGAGTTTTTCTTGTAAAAAAATTTGTTTATAAAATAATTTAATTCAAATTTTTTATAAGTTTAAGAATAGCAGTTTATAATACAAGAGTAAGATTTAATGTAATAAACAGATAATTTTCTATTAATGTAAACTGGCAAAGAGCATATTTTAGAGAAGCTGCTTCCAAAAGAGCCCTTATTTTGAATACTTCTGGCTCTGTATACGTGCGAGCACAGTGCTGAAATAGACCGGCTGGGTTGTCTGTGTCATTGCCTTGAGATAGAATTATATGATAATTGTGCCAGAGAGTAGTAAAATCAGCTCTTAATTCTTGTTTTTAATTTTGATTTTGGTATGTCTCTTAATAACGTATTACTTCTTCCATTTACTTTTTGCATGTTATATTTCATTATTATTTATCATATCTTTTCTCAATATACAGGCTGTCAATCGGAAAATTGTGAAAATAAATTAAACCATATATAAAATAAAATAAAATTTTTCAGAAGAAATTCGTCATTTTTATTAACATACAGTGCAAAAGAATATATAAATAAATACAGAAATTTTGAGAAAATATTATAAAAAAGTTGAAATCAGTCTTTTTATTAACGCTACTATATTAGTATAAAAATATTATATTAGTATAAAAAATATATATATGTAAACTTATGTAAATTTTATAAAAGATTCAACAATTTGGCATAGCCCGGATATATTTTCGGATTTATAGTGCGATATATTTTCGAAATAACAAAATGATTGAATTTAAACTCGAACAATCGAAGTATTATATTTCTGAAAACTATCAAAGAATTTCAGCCGAATTGCTCTCATATGAATAGTTATTCATGGAGAGGTCTTTCAAACATCATAAGTCATGCAACCAGTTATTTTTGAAATAATACTAACTTTCCAATTCATAAATGTACATTCTTTTGCATTATATGCTACTAAAAATAACGAGTATTGTTTAATTATATTCTATCTTATATAGAGTTTAATTTATTTCATTTTGTCTCCTTATTACAAAATAACAGTTATTTCAGTAACTTTTTAGTTACCACTCTGTAGATTCAAATAGCTCTTCAGTTATGCAACAGTGATTATGGCGTGCAATCAAACGTAAATTACAATTCGCGAGGTAACGTTATATAAACGAGAGAATTTCCATGTTGTCATTAGTGTGCATAATTTAAATTTAAATTACTTATGGAATACTTGAAAACAGACGCGATCAATTTTTATGTATCAGAATAGCTCTTTTATAATTTCGAGAAACGCGGATAGTAAATATCTTTCCTTAATCCTGTTATTAATTATGCAATAACACGAACAATCGTTTGTCGTTTCACGAAACTCCGGGAAATACA